ACTTGATTTTCAAAAAATTTACACTTGTCCAAATTAACCTTGACATTATACCTATCTAATCTACCTAAAACTAACTCCAGTAATTTATATGCATGTTCGAAATCAGTCGCAGAAACCAAAATATCATCTAGATAACAATAGACCTTGAATACCACCTAGAATTTGATCCATTACTGATTGGAATAAAGCTGGAGCTGAAGCCACCCCATAAGTTAAACGCGTATACCTAAACATACCCATATGTGTATTTATAGTAAGATATTTTTGAAAATCGGGATGAACCCTAAGTTGTTGATACGCCCCTGTAAGATCAAGTACACAGAATATAGACCCCCCTGCCAAACTTGCAAATATATCCTCTGGTGTAGGTAAAGGATATTGATCTATATTCAAAACTTTATTAACAGTTAACTTAAAATCTGTGCATATACGAACATCATCGGTACCTTTCTTAGGTACAACCACTATTGGTGATGCCCATTCACTAAAAGAGACTGGTTTTATTATACCTACTTTTAGCATTTGCTTAAGTTTTGTTTCTACTTTGGGTTTTAAAGCATATGGCATGTTATAAACTTTTTTAACTACCGGAATTGCATTTTCCTTGATATTAAATTTAATTTCAAACTTTTTAATCGGAGAACATAAGTCACCATCAAAAACAGACTTATATTTATTTTTAATTTGACAAACTAAGTCATTAAAATGCAAGTTATTTATAAAATTATCTCCGAAATTTTTCTGCCACCCAGGAAACAGAATATTGAGCCAATTCCGCCCCAACAAAGGTGTAAAGACTTTCTCAGATTCAATAATCGTTAATGGTAAACCAGTATGAATTGTGCCTAACTCAACCTCAACAATACATTCCCCAATAGCCTTAATATCCTGACCAGAAACTACATTAAGTTTATAAGACACCGGACTTAATTTAATATTAAATAAATTACGAAACTGACAAATAGACATAACTGATCTACATGCACCTGTATCTACCTCAAAATTCACAATTATATTATTAATCTTCAACTTTACATGATATGCAGGAACATTATTACCTTGCATATTGTTTATACACCACAAATCACTACCATCAAAATCTACCTCTTCACTCTCAGATAATACTTCTACAGCACCAACTGTAGATTTTCCTTGTTGAGGACACAGTTGCTTGACATGGCCCAGTTTCAGACATCTGAAACACTTCCAATTCACAGCTGGGCACTTATTCTTTTGATGGGCTCGACCACATTTGAAACACTTTCCCTCAACAGGCTTATTTTGCTGAAAATCTCTTACTTTAGGCTCTAATTTAGAATTATTACTGTACTGTCCCTGATTAAATTTATACGGTTTTTTATAAAAACTATTCACTGTGCCAGCTGACGTATCTACTAGAGTTTTAACTTGCTTTTGTGCGATCTCCGAGGCTTGAGCCATTTGGCAAGCACTACTAAATGTTAACCCAACATCTGATAATAATTTTTTTTGAATATTTTCTGCGCGTATGCCACACACAAATCTGTCCCTAAGAGCATCATCTAAAAATTGTCCAAAGTTACAAGAACTTGCTAATTTTCGCAGTTCTATAATATAATCAGCTATCGATTGTTCACTCTTCTGATTACATTTATTAAAAACAAACCGTTCATAAATTTCTGACACTGGAGGTGAATAATGTTTCAATAGTTTATCCTTAATCTGAGCATATGTAAAGTCTGTAGGTTTTCCTGGAACTACTAAATTCTTTAAAGTTTGATAAACACTTGTACCTGCCAGAGTTATAAAAAGTGAAACTTTAAGTCCCTCTTCTACCACATTAACCTTAAACAGATGTTCCATTCTTTCCATATAAGATTCGAATTCTTCCCCTTGATTTCCCTTGAAAGGTTCAATGTGTCCAATTAATGCCATTTTCTTCCGTTAACTTTCAATTAAGTAAAAAAAAAAAAAATGTACTCTGGAACAGATAGTTATTGTATACTCGATTCGCTGTTCGTACCGTTCACCACTCAATGTCAACGTCTCTAACTTGACGTTCCCAAACTGCCAAACTTACCCTCAATTACCCTCAAACAATTTCAATAAAACCATCCCATCCTCGTCGCCAAATGTAGTGTATTTCTGAGGAATTGAAGAAAACACGTTGAGTAACTTCTAGGATATATTAACTTCAGTATGAGGATAATTACTTTGGGAACTCAGGGCTAGGATATGTTAATGTACACACTACCTTTTTTAACTGTACCTGACTATCATCCTGGTTGCTAACCAACCTTTCAATTATATAGTCACTGGCATACATAACAGTTAATAATTTGTTAAAAGATATTTCCGGCAGCATTTGCTCTCAGGCAGGAATACAGGTTAATAGATGCACATAATACTATACATTGATAATAGTGTCGACACATAACTTGATCGGGGTAGGAAAAATGCGGTCGTCTCCCAGACTATTAAGGGAACATCTCAACGAAACATCTGGAAAAACTGATTGTTAAGGGGGCATGGACTCCACGTTCACCAGACCTGACGGAATACGACTTTTTTTTATGGGGTCATATGAAAGCTCTTGTTTGAGACACTCCAGTTGAAACAGCTAGAGGAAGTTAGTTATCACATAACCAAAACGCATGCGCCTATGTGTTTATATAAAATAGGAACTGTCTAGAGTCCCGAACGCGGGATCGCTAGAAAAACGGAAAATCCCGAAAAGGCGTGGCTTAATAACTGCGTTCGGGACTTTCCATGAATAATTGTAATCCCGACTTCGGGACCATGATCGTAACAAAAGTGAACTCCCGAATTGGTAATAATTGTTTATGTATTATTTGCTTATCCTATACACCTAGGTTAGATTTGTTTTGGGCAGTTATGGCTGAAAATTTATATTTGTATCCTTTATTATGGGGTTGAACACAAATGACACATTTGGTTCATAGTTCATATAAAGAATTACAAGATGCTATTGATTTATATGAGAAAGGAAATAGGGTGCAATTTTAGAAACGGGATGCAAAAACTATCACATCCGCATAATGACCCTAATTTATACAAGACAGGTAAAGATAAACCTGACATAAGATGAAAATATGAAATAATTCCTAATCATGAACAAGTTGTTGTTGATAGGTACCCCGTGCCCCTATCGAGACATGAGATTCAGGACTATGATGAACAAGAGCAGCAGTTTGAAAATTCAGAAATAATCCCTAATCATGAACAAGTTGTCGTTAATACCCCTATCGAGACTTATGAGATCCACATGGACTATGATGAACAAAATCAGCAGTTGGAAAATTCTGAAATAATAATTACTAACACTCCTGTTGAAACTTATGAGGCACCAAGCAGTAGCGAAGGAGAAATAGGACAGAAAATACACAGCGACCGGCAAGAGTGGCAAGAGCAAAACCTTCTGAAAAATATATTTTTTTGGTATATATTTGCAATTTAGTGAAAACAAATTTCAGAACCTATTAAAAGTCGAGGCAGACCTAGAGGCAAGAATTTAACGGCGATAGGCCTGCCGGCTAGAAAGAAAAATAAAATATGATCTACAAAATGAGATGTCAAAGTTTCTTTTCCATTTTTCTAACCTACTAAGAATACCTACGCGATATTTGTTTTTTGCTACTTCCTTGTTTTTCCAATAATTGTCTGATAAAATTATAGGTCGGGAGTTTACTTCTGTTACAACAGTCCCGAGGTCGGGATTCGAATAATGTTTGGAAAGTTCTAAGTCCCGAACGCCGTTATTATGCCACGCCTCTTCGAGATTTTGCTTTTTTCCAGCAATCCTGCGTTCGGGACTCTAGACCTCGCTCTAGACAGTTCCTATAAAGTATACAAACCGATGCATAATAAATAAGTTTAGAGAAAAAGTCGTAGGTAGGGGGCAGAAGGGCATACATACTTGATCGGAACGGAAGGTTCTGAGAAATCCTACGACAAAATTACAAGAATTTATTTTTTTTTCTCTTTTGAACTATAAAGTAACTCACTATTTTATTTTCCTTTCTGTATGAAAATAAACTTGAATACGCATTAAATAAAGCATACACATTGCCTTATCACGGCAAATATTTGGTCAAACCGTCTTCACCTTAACCTATCAAAATACATTTAAAAATGGTTACATTTTTTTTAATATTAATTATTAATTTCTTTTAGTTGGTTTAAGGTTTTCATCTATTTATAGGATACAGGCTTGATTAATAGCACATACTTACACTTTGTTCTTTTTTCATGTAAAATACCTGTCAACGCAACACCTTTCCTGCCACATCAAGACTCCAAGATCGCTCAACAGGAGACCACCTGCATTGGTGCACTCACGCTCAGGACAAATATCTGTAATTTATTTCAATACCTGATACACCTGGCGCATTGAATTCAGCAATTCAAGTCAATGCCAAATGGTTCTTCGATGCAGTGAATATCTAGAATATCACAACGGCGAAAAATTCGAGACGCAAAAACCTTGATAACATTGACCAGACGCCGATAACCATCACTTCCATTTTACCATTGGGGATGAAAATCACGCATGCCCAGTATTGCCTAGTCATCGTTTGCTTGTGTGGAAAAGTAGCACTTATTGGTAATTTATGGCAATTTTGCCATCGCTTAACCACCCTGCCCTTAATTTTAATTAAAATGTTGGAATTGGAAAGTAAATGGTTCCATTCTCAAATATTGATAAAAACGATCAGGGTACCTATCCCTTCAACAACTGATATATGGGTGATGATCTTCCATTTCTTCACTGTTTTTGGTATTCTCTTGAGGGTAAATGCTGCAGAACATACCAACATACCAGGCTACAAGTTTGTGTCACAGCTCTGTTGTGCACATACCCTAAGGCTGGTAATCTTTAACTAGGTCTTTAACCAATGAGATGCAGTAAATCTTTTATGAGAAGCTCGATGTTTTTGGAGTTTCTTCACTCAGATTGTGACGCACTACGGTCTAGTACTTAAAAAATAAATCAATCTTACCTCCCCAATACACTCAACGACGAATTGATTTTGTTTGATTCTCTCAATCTCTCACCAATATTCAAAGTTTTCTTGAGACGTTCTGAGCCGGCCAAATCGCAAAAATTGAATATGGACACCTTACACTTTTCATGATCATATCCTGCGACCAATCTGATTGAAAATATACAGTGCGATCGACTCGAGTGTTCATTCACTGCGGTCGCTGCGTAGCTCAGGTTGTGCATCCCGTAGTGCATAAGCCTGTAAGCTTCAAGACCTGAAAAAAACAAAAATTAACTAAAAAACAATTTACCCATTAATTATCTCACCAGAGTGAACAAACACATATTTCAACCCTTTAATATAGGTGTCATCTTGTAGACCGCCAATTTTCAATCTGGGCCTTTCGTGGTGTCGGCCAGGATGGGGCTGTAGTAAATCGTAAATATTCTCATTGTAAATTTCCGCAAAAGAAACCCAAACACCAACAATAGGTGTAAATTTATTGAGGGTTCCTACTTTGGTAGTACTCAATCTCCTTTGCATGTGGCTAAAATATTATATTCAATAAATTATTATTATTTTTTTTAAAAACTTCCCAAGTTCCTACCTGAAAGTTCTACTATGTAAAGCTTGTTCTGCATATGACTGTGAATCCCCAAGAATATTTTTAAGAATCGAAATTTCTTGTTCAACTTGCAAGTTGGTCAGAAGCTGGACTCCACCATGAGGCAAAGGTTTTACAATTGGTTTTTTATTAACATGTGACCCTACAGTACGGAAGAAATAATCTAGAGATCTTGGGATAATTCCAGGTTGCTCTTCAGTGCCAATCATAGTAAACGTCTTGCCTGAGCCTGAGGCACCATAAGCCAAAACAGTGCTATTGTTTCCATTAATAAAATCGACTATTTTTTCTTTGATGATGCTATCGAAAACATATTCTTGGCTAGCATCTGGATCGAAAATACTCGAAAATTTGAACTTTCTCAACACCGTGCTGCCATCTCTTTTGTTTCTTGCAGCAAACGAGCCTTCCGGAACTGTGCAAATGAGAGTATTGTCTTCGATTGTGTAAATTTTTGTGTCGGCATTTGGCTTTTTAATGCGTAAGTAAACATTAATGCCATCATCCTAGAAAAAAAATTGATAATTGAATTACAATTTTTTAAAATTTCTTTTAAACATAAAAGAAATTTTAAAAATGGAGTGAGGGAAAAAGAAAGAGGAACCAAATGAGGAATTAGAGAGAAAAAAAAAAAACAAAGAAAATTTCCTTAAACAATATATTATTAGAAGTGATAGGTTTGAAAGAAATATTATACAACTAACAATTTGCCAACAATTATCGCATACGCTCAGAATGCAGACTTTGCCGGATACTCGGCCCGATATCTTTCACACATGGAGTTGACTAATATTTGAGTAAGTCTTTCATAATAGTTATTTATGATATGAGTGTTAAAAGTACATTTTTAAGGCACGCATGTGAAAGTTTGCAGAATGAGCGAAGCGAATTCTGCAATTCACATAAGTGCCTTAAAAATACTTTTAACACAAATATCATACAATATTTTTTCTACAAACGGCAATAAAAAGCAATAACCAGTAACAAGTTAGATTTTTGAATGAATAATAAATTGGACATCTTTCCTACATAAAATTATTAAATTTGACATTTGTCAAAAAATCCAAACATCCAGCACCTTGTTTTACAGGTAATGAAATGTCTTGTCAGTTTCTTGAAAGTCTGTCGTGGTCAGTAATGCTCATACCTTTTTGCTAAAAATGCAACAAAATTCAGAAGAAAAAGAGGGGTGCATCGATCCCTTGAAAAATATAGATGAGGCGGCCAATCGGGCGACCTCAGTTGTTCAAATTTCACCATTAATATCAATGTAAATAACTAAAAATACAAACTTTTTTTGACATTCGCTCTCAAAATTTGATGTTTCATTTTTAACACTAGTGCTATAAAGACTTTATGGCACTAGTGCGATAAAGTAACATTTTTAATGCTACGGGGCGGTGTTAAAAATTGCATTTTTAACACGTTTGTAGAAAAACATTTATATAACAGCCATGAATATTTCATATTTTTATTCTCTTTTTTTAATTTCTGTCTTGTTTTATTGTAATGTCTAGTTGATGTCTAAAGTATTTTGTTTGTTGCCTTCTAGGACTTGAAAAAGTATATGTAATAAACGAAACATCGGCACAAAATCAGTGGTCTTTGTCGCCTTTTCCCATAACCCAAGATCTTTTCTACATAATGAACCAGGGAAATGATATGCCAGTCATTCTCAATATTTGTTAGACTGCCTTATTGGAATTTCCATTAAGCTCAGTGCATCAAAGAATCGGATTTTTTTTTAAGGGATCATATTCTACTTCGATTATTATTAATGGCGTTGTGGATGTCTTTCAGTTGGTATTAGTATTAAGAGCAGTTTTTTTTTAGTTGAGGATGGATTTGTATTCCCAGTATAAGTTTGATTTCTGGATTCCTAAATAAAATCTAGGTAGAGCTGAAGGTAGAGCTTCAACTATTACCACACCATCTTAAATACTAAATCCCAGATTCTTCAAAAGTTTCGTATATAATTACTTTGTAACCTACATTGGAAATAAATTGGGCAACTCACCCAACTATCTAGCTAGACCAAATAGATTTTTCATTTTCTCATGATAGTATAAGAATCAAATCTTGAACATGGGGATTCTACTGAACAATTCTTAGTACTTACTCAGTTCTCTACCCAAGTGGAAAACCCTCGGGAACTAACTCAAAACTGAGTTACCTACTTAACATCATTAAATTACTTCATCAAAAAATCTGAGTGGGTTGAGTAGCTCAGATGGTGCCACTGCCCCGGTCCCAAGCCCGGATTAAGGAGGAGGGTTGGAGGGTGAGGCTAGCAACCTACCCTCCATAAAACAATCGCTATGCTCACAGAACCCAAGCATTGCTTCGGAACAGGACGGATTCAATGTTGACGACACAAGCGAGGACAAGGAAAATGAGACAGAACAAACACAAAAAGCAAATAAGGCTGGGATGTTGGAACGTAAGATCGTTCAGTGGAAAGGACCAAGAAATTATACTAGAACTACAGCACCATAAAATAGAAACATGTGCCATATCTGAACAGAACAATATGATGACTACATTCTGTTTACTCAAGCAAATCAAAAGACACAAGAGCAGCGTCAGGAGTTGGAATGCTGATCAACCAAAAATTCAGGGACTCCATAACCGACATTAAGTACACAAACGACAGAATAATAAAAGTAACCCTGAAACTAGACAAACACACTCTTCATATAGTGTCCGTTTACGCAGCAGATACTGAAAAGCCCGTCCAGGAGACCATCGATTTCTACGAACAACTCCAACTGCTGATAGAAACAATACCCCAACATGAAGGCATGATAATAATGAGCAACTTGAATGGAAGAGTAGGGAACGAGGTAATACCTGGAGTCAAGAATAGATTCAATGAGGAGACAGTGAACGAGCGAGGTGAGAAGCTTGTTGAATTTTGCGCTTACCAGGAACTAAGGATTAACAACACATACTTTAAGCACAAACCCCAACACAAAGTCACGTTTCAGGGCAATAGAGGGGTAGCGTCCACAATAGACTAAATAATAACAAATAGAGTCATTAAACCAGAGCAAATACAGTATGTTAGATCAGCAACATCGGCAAACATCGGATCAGACCATAACGTAGTAATGGGAATAATAACCATGGCAAGACCGCCAGCTAATAGGAAGAAACCGGACAACCCAATAACAAAGTTCAACATCGAGTCACTAAAAACCGAAAGCACGCTGGATCTGTACAAACGGCGCATTTCCCAAAAAATTGAAAGGGAACCCTTCCTCCAACAACACACAGTAGGCCGCGCATGGGACATCCTACTTAACAACATAAACCAAGCAGCGAAGGAGGCACTAGGCAAAAGAACAGTCAACACAACGACAAAACACAGAAATAATAAACCATGGTTCAAACCAGAGGTGAAGATACTGGTTCAGGAAAAAAAAACCTACCCAACATACACAGCCAACAAGACTTCAAGAAACCACATCGAAACAAGGAACAGAGTAAACAACCGCATAAGGGAAATAAAGAGACAGCATTGGGAGAACTTCAGTAGAGAAATGGAAAGTGTCTTTTATGGAACCCAAAAACGCATCTGGAAAATGCTTAGAGCAACAGGGAGAGAAATAAATGAGACAGTACAATTAAACATCTCAGCAGCCGAATGGACCACCTACTTTCAGGGCCTGTACACAAACCGGGACGAACAGGAACAACGAAGGCCCATTGAGCGGGGAGGTTGAACCGAGAGGAAGCCATAAACATCGAGGATGTAGAACAATACACGGTGGAGGAAGTGATATCCGAAATGAAGCACCTGAAAAACGGTAAATCTCCAGGCCCGGACAACGAGCTGCTGAAGTGCGGAGGAAAAGCTCTGGCGAGGCAGCTGGCCGAACTATGTAACAAAATATTAAAGGACGAAAATACACCAGCGAGATGGAGCCACAGCATGACAATCCCAATATTCAAAATGGGGAAAATCTCAGATCCGGCGAACTACCGAGGAATATCGCTTTTAGACACGACCATGAAATTGTTCACCCGTATGCTGCGCTGCAGCAACGCATTCTCAGTTATACCACAAAAAGCGAGGAGCAGCAGGGTTTTCGGAAAACCCGTTCAGTGTCAGGCCCGTAATGACATACACGGCAGAAACAAGGGAGCTGACACAGCGGAAACAAAAAGGATGACACGAACCAATGAAATAAGAACACTAAGAATGATCACTGGGAACACACTTTGGGATCAAAGAAGGAGTAACGAAATCCGGGAAGAGTGCAAGACAGAGGACGTGGTTAGATGGACTCGCGCTAGGAGACGCTTCTGGAACGGGCACATATCCAGGATAGAAAACCACAGACTGGCAAAAATCGCCAGAAATGGAAAAACTAGCATCCAGCAGACGACCAGGACGGCCTCCCAAGAGGTGGAAGGACAGCTGGTCGTCGGGTCGCATTTTTGTATCGAGCGCCCAGTATACCGCATTCGGGTAACGTCGTATTAACCGAGGCCTGTCTCATAACGAGCGTCTGATTTCCCGATCGATTGTCAAGCTACCGTACGCTTGATACTAGTCTTCTGCGAAATTATGGATCGGCGTCCAACAATTCAATTTTTTTTTTTTTAATTGTTTATCATTTATTATGCAATGGCCAGAAAATTATATGTACCACATTGTCGATTACAGCGAAATACGAACTAATTTCAAGACTAAGCAGGAAGTCGAGGTAAGGGAATAAGTAAGAGCAAAATTATGTTTTATCTACATAACCTTACCATGAATAGAATACCATGGCGAGATAGAATAGGCCACTTTCACGTTTTTTCGAAAACATTTTTGAATTATTGTGTTAGCCATTCTTCCAATGACATTATCATCTGTATACTTTTTTCTCCAAAAAAAAACGCCTATTTTTTGAAATATGTTAGAACGATTTAAAAATCGAATTTTTAAAGCAGGTAAAAATTAACAAGATTTTTGCTATTTACTTAGGGATTTGTATACCTGCAATCGTTATTTGACAAATGCGGAGATTAGATTCAGGCAGATGTAAATAATTATTTATGATGCTGTCTCTAAGTAACAAAACTAACCAAAACTAACCCAAATTGGAGCTGAGCAAAAGGTTAAGGTAAGGACAGCCTTAGGGTTAGTTTGGGATAGTTTGTTAGAGACAGCATCAAATAACTAGGCAAATAGCAAAATCTTATTAATCTTTAAGTTTTTTGCTACTTTCCATTCCACTTAGTGAACTACTAGAATTAAAATTGCTTTACGATTTGATTACCAGAACCAAAATTAAACTAATACATATTATCAAGTAGCTTGATGGTGAGGAGCCAGGAAAACTCAAAAAGATATTCGAGACTGTAGGCGCGAGTCGCGAGTATCGAGCATACGGTAGTCCGAGTGATTTTCGTACTACCGTGCGCTTGATACGCGCCGAGGTCGGGTACCCCGAATGCGGGTTGCTGGACGCTCGATACAAAAATGCCGTCGGGTCGGCATCCCAGGAGGGAG